CCTAAAGATTTTAACTGCACTTAATCCATAGCCTAATTTAAATTATTTAGCATAAGATTCTATTGAATTTACTATAAACACAACACTCACAGGCCTTACTTACAAATACTTAACATACTTAAGAATCTAAGACCATAACCTTCATAGTATGTTTGCTATAGCATAGTACAGACCTAAGGTGTAAGACTAAGTATAAGGTGTATGTACCACCTGCTGTGAAAGGATTTGGGTTCCAGCTCAACTGATGTGAGTGTAACAGCCAGAGTGGCTCCTGGATACCCTGACAGGAAAGTTTTGTGAACACAAACATCTCCTGGCTTTCCTTCCCACAGTATGCAGTGGTTTCTGCCCACATAAGCCTGTTCTGGGGATGGTAACTGTGTAACTTTTAAAATGCAACTGATTGTTTCTTTCTGAGTGCTGATTGATTGATTGCAGCAGCTGCTTTGTGATGCTGTAGCCAAGAAACTGATGGATGATCAATTTGAGTGACAAATCTTCTTGTTGCAGAGTGAAAGAGCTCAGCCCTCATGATGGAGGTGGTGAAACTCAGTGTCAGATGGAGACTGAGGAGGCTGAGACCAGTACTGAAGGCTCAAGTCTTCAACTCAATGTATGTGTATGCAGTGGGCTAACCAGAACTCAAAGCTGGGAACAACTTGCTGTTCTTACCTGGGCTGTTTCTTGCAGTTCTCCAAGGATGAGGAGGAAGAACTCTCTCCACACATGTTCAACTATCGAGAGGTTATGACTCAGATTAGTGAATGGGAGGAGAAGGTTGTAGAACAGCTCAAAGAACTGAGACAGGTATGGGGAAGCAGCAGACCCAGCCCAGGCCACCTTCTACAAGTTGATAGCAGCTTGCTTTGTCTGGGCCAATAGCTGCTGGGGAGGCACCTATGCAAGATGCTGTACTACTGGTGTTACTTTTTCCTCACTGCCAACTTTTTCCTGTATTTTCTGGCCTAGCTTGTTAAACTGGGGCATTTCAGTGCTTTTTGCCAATTCCCTTTCCCTTCCAAATAGCAACCTCTACTTGCTGCTAATGAGCACTGATGGCTCCTGGTCTGTAGATGTTCAGCTATGTTGATTAGACTGCCAGATTTGAAGAAACTAATTGAATTTCTAGAAAGTCCATTTCTCATCACTGTTATCCTTGTAAATACAGAAAATGGCTACTGAACTTGACTGCCTCTTGGAAATCGCAGAGAAACCAGATTATGATCTTGAGACCTTTGTGAGCAGAGCTAAGTACTTCGTAGAGGACAGCTCAAGAAATTTCTTTAGTGTCAGAGGTATGTTAGAGCCTGTATCTGACTAGCACTGTTACTAATACTTTTCCAAAGATCTGAAAGTAACACCAGCATACCTGTGGGGGTTTGAGCACCCAGTCCTGCATAGCTGAGGTCTGCTGAGACTGACAGCTGTTCTGGAGAGTTCAGCTTCCTGATCAGTCACCCTGTTGCTCTTACCTTTTTTTACAGAAACACTGGATGCCCTGGGGACTGCCATGCAACTGGAGGAGCAAGCCAGCAAGCAGATTAGCTGGCAGAGGCCTTAATCATTATAGCAAAACCTGGTTCACAAGCAATCTTTCATGCAGTTGTCTTGTCTTGCATGTTTGTCAGTGGTTTGTATCACTCCTGTTTTAAATGTGGTAGGGTGTCTGCAGGTCACATGCCCAAGGGCAGTGAACCCAGCAGCCTTTTTCTTCATGGCCTGTATCAGGGTACTGAGCAAAGTGCTAAACTGCACCCACTGCAAGGCTTGGGTAGGGGGCCTGAGAGTCTGCAGTCTCTGCCTGAGATAGCTAGCCCTTTGCTGGTGACAGTGGTCTCCCCTAAGAGAACTAACTACTACATGTATAGTACCTTTTCCAGATGTGCTTGAAGCATTGCAAAACTGTTACAAGTTTTGCTTTTCTAGAAGGAAGGAAAATTGACTATGTGATTGTAAAAACCAGTATTTTAACAAGTTGAATAAATAAATGTTCTTGGATCTCACTATTTTATCTGTCCTATAAAAAATATTTCTTGCTGATTATGGTAAAGTTTAACAGCTCCTAAAGACTGGTTGTTGGTCGGGTGGCTGATTTCTTGGCTGAAGTTTCTTTTCAAAGTCTTTATACTTGTAATGTTTACATAAAAATCACTCAAAATCATTTTGCCTCTTAATTTTGAGATGCTGCTGGGATCCCCTATCAGGGGGAAGCTGGCTTATGTGTAGCTATCTGCTGCCATGGCCTTTGCCGTGCAGACCCTTTGGGAAAGAACAGGTTAGGGGAGGAACACTTGTAAGGCATGTGCTAGTGCCTGCTCCTTTTTACTTATTCAGCTCAGTTCAGCACTTGTCTTCAAAAGCATAACATAATTGTGTGAGCTCTAGGTTCAGCAACACAGGATGCAGCTATGCAAACATCAGATCACAAAGGGACCATCTACCATTACTCCCTCTTTTCTTAGAGCTACCTTCTCCCTCTGAAAGTCAAGGGTGTAATTTAAGTGACAAGGCCACCCCCAGCTCTGCACCTGCCATCTGTGGTCTGCATCCTTGCTGTGTGTCCGGAGGTGCCAACTACATTGGAGGTCAGTTATTCTGCCTGGATTCCATAAATTATGTGCGGTGTTTCAGTGCTGGCCTGGAAAAGACAGCAAAAGAGTTAGGGATCTTTGAGTCACGAGCACTTACGGAAGGGATGCTTCAATCCAGCTGTGATGCTCCTCTACATCTTGGGCACTTTGTGCTCACCAGTTTAGGTTCTGGAGCAGAGTGGGGCTGAGCACTGAGGGTTTCTGAACGGTGAAAGGTGACTTGGACCTGGGCTCTGCCTGCATCATATTGAGATGGCACAGCCAGAGTAGCAGGGCTGTTATGCCCTACTAAGCCTGGACAAAAGCAAGACACTCCTGTTCCACTTCAGGTGATAGTACTGTTGGATTACCCAGCCTTTCCCTGTGCAAGGAACAAAGTATTGCCCACTTCCTTCCCTTTGTGGCCCTAATATTGGTTATTTTCCCTATATCTGCCTTTGGAATTAGAGACCTGATCTGCAGGCTGTCAGCCCCTACCCTGGATGGGGGAAGAGCCACCCAATGGCCTGAGTCTGTGCCTCTTGGTGCAATTCTAATGGAAAATGCTCTGTTCCTGTCCTGCCCTAGTAGCACCAACAGACACCAGTCCCAAAATAAAAAAGAAATGGTCAGCTGTGCATGGTTTGACAATCATTTAAAACTGGGGCTTGCTGAGAACCAACTGTTTAATGATCAGTGGGAGCTTCCTGGCGTATATTAAAGTCTGGCAAGTTTCTTGTGTCACCATAAGAATGCCGGGACTCAAACATCACCCCCCTTACTTCTGAGAAGATGTCACTGGAAAACTCCTCAGGTCTGCCTTCCTACCCACCAAATATTTTCTGTCATCTGCTTTTGCAGAAAGTGTGTTCTAAGAGCACTATCTTGTGGACACTGCAGGAAATTCATACTGAATAAACCAATTTTAGTGCAAATAGCTGAATTTCATTGAGCATTATGCAGTCAATCATAGGCACTAGGTTTTCCACTGGGCAGCTGATGTTATAAAAGGGTGTTTCAGTGCTGGCTGTGGCTCCCAGCTGTGTGGAGCATACAGTGGCCATGAGCAATGCAGCACCCTTCAGCCCTGTGCAGGACAGGTGTTGCTTCCAGGCCTAGCCATCAAGGGTGACAATACACAAGGCCAGTGCAGATTTCACATCTTCCTATAAATAAATTATCAAGGCAGCTCCAGTGGCAGGAGCAGGGAGGGTCTGACCACTTCTACCTGCAGGCAGTGACTCTGCCTCATTCCCAAACACCCATCGCCAACCACCTCTGGGCTGGAGATGGCAGAGCTGGGATACTCAGAGAGAGGAGTGCCAGAGGTGAATGGATGCATCTTTCCTGAGAGGTCCTAGTCCTTTCCTACTGAAAGGATGCCACTTCTCTAAGGTTCTTTTTATGGTCCTGTAGATTCTGATCACCCAATGGCTTTTGTGGCAGCTGCCTGTTAAGCATACTCTCTCAAAAGGTGGCTGTGTGTATGTGGATCATTAGGAAGGAGAGAATGATGCTTTGAAACACTTCTAATATGTTAGAGGTGGAGTTATGCTGCTAGCATGAAAGGAGGATGGATGTAATTTTTCAGGAAACACTGTGGCTGCATATAATGATCTATGCACATGCCATAGCTTAGGCAGTCTGGGCTACAGTGGCCTGCACTGCTGAGCAGGGACAGGAAACACCCAGCGCTGGAACTGTTCACCATCCTCACCAGCAGCCCCCCGCACCTCTCTGGGTAGCATTAGTGCCGCAGGAAAGCCCGGCCTGGACCCGGGCAGCTCTTGCTGCGGCTCTCCTCGCCTCAGGGGACTGCCTCCTGCAGCAACCCTGGTCAATACAACTGGGGCATTTTTAACTCTATTATTAACCGAAATAAATGTAGCTCCACCGAAATGGAGCCTCAAAAAATTTCTCGACACTCGTGCCTGTTCCTCTCCACGGAAATCTTTAGTAAAAGGCGAAAGATTTATACGATCTGAAGAGAAACCAGAGTATAACCTTACGCTCTTCGCCGACATAGCCACCGTCCGCTCCACCCCCCCGAGGTGAGGGTGACACCAGCACGGCCGCGGGTCCCGGACCGGACCCGCACCCCCGCCCGGCCCGGCCCCGCGGGCCGCACCCCCGGGCAGCCCCCACAGCCCGGGAGGGGCAGCGGCCGCACGGCCGGACACCGGCGGGGCCGCGGAGCACCCTGGGCATGCAAATCAGCCCCGAAACGGGGCCGCCCGAATGAGTAGGAGGAGCCGGCGGCGCGGATGGGCGGGGTAGGTTGGTGTTTTGTGACATCCGTGCCGCAGCAGGTCCGTTATGCCCACAGGGATCCACTAGGGATCGCTTATATTCCCCATTGCCGCAATTAATTACCAACAACCCGCCCCAATGAACGCTCAGCATTCGCTCTTTCTTTAACCGTAAATGGTTGGCTCCACCGTGATGGAGCCGCAAAAACTTTCGTAAGACTCGTACGCGTTCCTCTCCATGGAAATCTTTAGTAAAAGGCGAAAGATTTATACGATCTGAAGAGAAACCGGAGGATAGCCATGCTGCACCCCGCACGTATGCCCACTCCCCGCTGTCGCCACAGAAGACAGGGCGACCTTCACTCAGTTCCTTTCGCTACTTCCCACTCCTTCCGCGGCCTCACCCGGCTCGGCAGCAGCCCCCCGCGGTACCACAGCCCGGCTGGCCCTTGCCCGGCCACGCCGGTTCCGAGCGGCGGCTTTCGGCGGGGCCGGCCCGGCGCTGCCCGCACTGCAGCCAGGGGATGCTGATCACACCAAGCGGAGGAGGCTTCCTGCCCTCCTGCCGGGACGGGGGGAACGAAGCGAGGAAGCTGGGGACAAAGCGAGCCGGGAGCGGATAAGGACCCCGCGGCGCCCGGGTCTGGTCGCATCGTCGCCACGGCAAGGAGACGCCGAGCAGAGGCAAAAAGTCGGTTCCGGAAAAGGCCACCATACGCCGCTGCCACGGATGGGAGCTAGACAGCGAGGGGGGCTGGAGGTAGGGGCCCCACGCAAGGTGCTGAGCTCCGAGCGGGCGCCAACACCACCCCTATGCTCCTGATAGGGCTGGAGCGCGCGGGACTGCCGGGCAGATCCCTGGCTCTGGCTCCTCCCGCAGTCCGAACCGCGGACACGCAGCTGCACGGCCCGGGCCGGGAGGAGGGGCTGCCCGAGCCCCGCCCCGCGCACGTTCTGACCCGACGAGCGAGCTGAGGCGGCGGGCCGGGCGGGGTACGGGCGGCGCGGAGGGAGGCGCGAGCGCAGGGCCGGTGCTGCCGAGAGCCGCACCAGAGTGGGTCGGGCTTTCGGCCCCAGAACACCGCGCACGTAACCCGACTTACTCCCACATTGTAAAGGGCAGCAACCCCTTCAGTTGTTGCAGTTTGTTCTGTTTTTTACCAGAGTAGGGGTAGCTCCACCGAAATGGAGCCTCAAAAAATTTCTCGACACTCGTGCCTGTTCCTCTCCACGGAAATCTTTAGTAAAAGGCGAAAGATTTATACGATCTGAAGAGAAACCAGAGTATGCTGTAAGCTGGCCCTCGGCAGGTACCCATTCACGGCTGTCCCTCCGAACATACAGCGACGCCGTTTGCCCCCAGGTTCGGCCCTCTGCTGCCTCGTCCCGTGCTCCCCGCAGCGGTCAGAGCTCAGCCTGGCACCGAACCACCGGTACCGGGGAGCGGCGGCCCGAAATTTACCGTTTCTGCGGCACCTCCGCGCGGTGCACCCTGGGTATGCAAATTATCCTGAATACTAATAAGGCGCTCAGCCCCGCCCAGCCCCATATCAGTCGCAGCCAGGCGGGATCGGGGCCCCAGGGACGCTCGGCGGAGATCGCCTGTGCCTGCCCTTCTCCCCCGGAACACTTGCCCAGCCACCCCACACCGCCCAGCGTGGGTAGACAGATCTTACCTTTGTCCTGGACCTCCGGGTGTGCTGAGCAGAGCACGCCCAGCATGGGCTCCATGAACAGACAGGGCACTTCTCCCGTCATATCCTGGGGGAAAAGAGAAGCGTGACAGGGACGGTCTTCACACAGTTCTCCAGACTGTTCTCTTCCAGGCAGTAGGGCTACCCAGTGCAGCCAGAATGCCAAGGAGACAGGCACAGCTCCTGCCTGAGCAGGGATGGACAGAGCTGGTAACACTGCCCGTTGTCCCAGCATGGCCCACTGCTCACCTGCATGACCCTGAGTGTCTGCAGAGCCCCGTGCTGGGCTTGGGGGGAGGTACACAACAGCACAGCTTCCAGCCTTGGGAATCTTGGCTCTGGTACTCGGGAGCTGTGGGGCCAATTGCTGTGGCCCAAAGAGTCCAGCAGAACCTGTGCATCTTTTTGACCGTCTGCTGAGTTGGAGGCGTTTAAGAACTTGGTCTGGGCTTGCACCCTTGTGCAGAGAAAGAGATGCCAACTTGTGTGCCTGGATCAGCCTGGATCAGCCGTCTCAGCTGTTTCACTGTCACTCTGAGAAAACCCAGTACTGCATCCCACTTGAAGTGTGGCTCAAACAGCTGGGACAAACTTTCTCCATCCTTGTCAGAAGCCACAGCTAAAATATAGTTAGCTAAATTCTCAGGTGGAGTAAGTGGCCAAGGAAGGCTCTTCTGCAGCCATTTACAGAAACAGAGTCTGGCACTGGCATACCAACAGACTTGCTACAGATCCCACTACTGAGCCTGCTTTGTCTCTCTTGGAGGAAGCTGTGACAGCATGTATCACCCCATGCCCTCTAAGAATGTCCTCTGAACTACAGAACGAACAGGTTTTGGCTTCCACTATCCAGGAGGAAAAACAGGAAAAAAAAATTTGTAATCCTTTTAAAAGATGCAAGCTACAAAACTCTCCTACCCCAGAGAGGAACTCTGGGAAAGTTTGCAGTAGGTGAAAGCTGCAGGTAAGGATGGAAACTGTTCTGTGGTTTTAACAGGAGGAATTGCAACCAGCAAGGCAGCAAAATTGCACCAAATTGACTGTGAAGAAACTGAGCTTGTTAAAAAATGAAAGGGATGAAATCCAACCGCTCAACAATAGCTGAGACTCTGAACTCCTTCCAGCCAGAGCAGCACTGCTGGATCTGCCATCAGCAGGCAGAGGGAAGGGAATGGCTCAGTGCAGCAAGCAGCCCCAGGGGCCAGAGGTCAGGAAGAACATCCTTGTCTGAATCAGGACAAAGCACAAATGGACATGCTGCGTACCACAGCTTTCACAAAGGAGCTCCTTATACTCCCTGCCAGTGTCTCCAGTGAGCAACAGCAGCTTTATAAACCCTCTTTTGTCCTCTTCTTTCAGGTGGTTCAGCCTCAGTATTTCCAGGGGAATCAAGACACCTCCGATCTCCAGAAATTCAGTAAGGTATCTGTGGCTGCAAGGCTTCCAGAATAAGGGGAACAAGGCCAGAAATGTCACTTGCCTTGGAGCCCATCTTCCTCTGCCAGCATGCCATGTCCTGGGAGCCATCACCCCCATCTCACTGCAGTGGGTAGAGGTCTGAACTAGATACTGTCTCTGCAGAAGAGCATGGACTGTCCTCTTATAGGCAGGCAGAGGCATTTCTCATCCAAATGTGAGAAAAACACTGATTCTAGGTTCCTGAGAGATGAGTTACATGGCTTTCCCTTCAGTTCCATCTTTTGATAACCATGTTGTTTTTTAGGCCTGCAGAATGTGGCTGGATGTGGATGTCTCTGTACAAAAGCTTATTCTTTAAACAAATTTTCAGTGGAGACCTTGCCATCCTCTCCATCTCACTACACACAGCACCTCCAGCTGTCCAAGGAAACAGATGCAGCATCCTGAGCCTCACTGTTGGTGAGCCAGAAACAATCTGGCTCTCTGGGAACTCCAGCTCTGGTTCTGCCTTGTTTTAATGAAGCCGTTCAGGATGCAACAGTTGTTTGAGCAACTTTGTGGGCACTATCCCATTCCTGCAAGAAAGCCATGATGGCTAATGGCTTTCTGCTCTTTGACAGATGTCATGATCTCTTATGCCTAGAGAAAAATGAGAAAGAAGTTTAAAAAGGTCTGTGAAGAAAGACTGTACAAATGAATTATCACTAGAATCACATTTTAAATCTCTGTCAAATAATATTAAAGCAATTAGTAACCATTTAATCTCATTTTCTCTTATTTCATAGATAGGAAAACTAGCAAAAGGAAAGTTCCTGATATGTCTGAAGCTGCACAATGAATCTGTGACAGACTTGAGATTATTTTCCTGGGCAGATGGTTCACCACAGGAGCTCTTTTCTCTGCTCTGCTAATAAAGTCATTTTGATGTTACCCATTACCCCAGCTCTGTTTCTCACTAGCCTCATGATATGAACACTGCGTCTCATATCTGACCTGCCAGGGAATAAATAGAGTGAAATGAGAGCAGAAATAGGTATGGATTTATGGGGAGTGACAGGGTCAAGGGGCTGTAAATGCCTGTTAGCACAGCAGCACAGCCCTCACTGACGTGCAGGAACGACAGTTGGACATCCACCCCAGGAACATGTGCCTGGCCTTGGCAGTGGGAAGCTGCTTTGGCACCTTTATCATGACAGGCATTTGCCTCCTTTTTTCCCTATCTAATTTTCCTGGCATGTTTTTAAACAAACTAAGAAAAGCTGAAATGAAAAGAGTTATAAGCAAGAAGACAGAAATTCCAGAAATATCCCTTGTCTGCAATGCCTTCTATTTCTTCACACAGTTGTTAAATAAAGAAATCTACATTTTTCCAAGTGTCTTTGGCACACTTTTGGCTCAGTATGATATCCCCTAGTGCAGCTTGACAAATGTGAAGGTGCACTTAGTAAGGGAGCTGGAATGTCAGGGACTAAGCCTTCCATTTGTGTGGCAATCCCACAGCTGTGCCTGCTGTTGGCTGGAGGACACTGGCCAGTCTCAAGGAGCCTTGCAGTTAAACACCAGGACCTGTGCCCACACACAGATGCAGGAAGAGGGATAAGGTCACAAACAGTGGCATTAACACAGGTGACTTGTCCTCCACCAAGCTGTATCAACGTGCCTAAGGATAAGAAAGGAATTCACACCTCGTCTAATGCACTTCTTGTACTTCCTACCTAACAAAAGCACCATTTTAGGTTTTATTTAAGTGTTGTTTATTGAGAAAAAGAGTTAAAATAACATAAATCTTTCTGTTTCAGAATAAGAAGTTTCTTTCAATGTAATACAAATCATCAAGATTACCAATTTCCTATTTACAAAGTTCTTAAGCCCTTTCTCCTAGAATCTGGAGAAAAATTTCAAATCAGGCTCAAAATATCCCCAAGATACCTGCTCAAAAGTTCTACTCCTGTTATCTGAACCAGACTGAAAACAACCACTAAGACGTGAACATGTATCTCAGTGCCTGAAAACAAACAAGTGAAGTCTTCAAAAAGCTGGCTAAGAAACAGAGCTTGAGAATTGGGATGAGATGAAATTTCATTTGGGAATTAACGGTCTGTGTTCTGTAAGGCATCTGTGTCCTTGGCAGGGCATTTTCAGGACCTCCTTTGCAGGGAAGCAGGTTTAAAATAAATCCATTT